CGTATTTCCTGTGGAGCAGGGAAATTCAACTTAGCTGTTCGGTAAAAAATTAAGACTGAGATATATTCTTATACGAGTTAAATAAGTAAAATAGCATAAAAATAAATAAATAATTTTCTAATCACTTGTAGACAAGAAAACACGTCGAACATGACAGACATCAAGCTGTCAATCACTGACATCTAACGGCAGGCCGCAGTAGCTTCTACTTGCTAATACTGCGCAGTAAATATGTTTTCAACACAAAACAATCAATGTCACTTAATTATGAAGTACATTTGGATCAAAGTGGCAGAGAATAAAAAGGGTTTTAAGAATTACAGTAACTTGGTCATTTTATAGCTACAAAGCATTTGACGACGTGTTTTATTTTATTTTAGCATCATTGGCCTCAGCAACATAGGTCTCTAATAAATATTTAACCGACACTTAACTGACCATTGTTTATTGTACGACATGGTGATTTGAAGAACGGTTATGTTGTTCTACAAGCCCATTACCAGGAGCACCGGACCAGGGAAGAGCTTAGCGGCTGTTCCCGCAGCTTTTCTGTTCACTCACCTCGGATGAAAGCGTCAAGGTCGCCAACAGTAACAGTAACAACGCCGTGTGCTCCCCCATGCCGTCCTCCTGTTATCCTGCCAGCTCCGCTGTTGTAATAAAGCTCACCGTTTTCCAGTTATTGATAAAGTACAGATATGTACATAGGCATACACGCGCGTGTTTGGTAGACGGGTGCGTGTGTGGACACCGCGCAGGCTAAAAATCAGTTCTGGACCTGATCCCGCTGCTTTGCTCCCTCCTCCTTTTTTCTCCACTCCAGACGTCCAGTCTGTGACGTCATCATGCGAGAACGCGTATGGGCGGTGTGGCGGATATGTAAGCATGTATACTGGTCAGTTAGTACATATGTGGACTTTGCGTCCTCCCTCCTTTCCTTCTCTTCTTGATTCCACCATTTGTTCCTTGGATCCTTACTCAACTCAGTGCATTCTTTTTTTTTATTTTCCTCTCTGTGAATGCGAAATTCCATATCAGTTGTGCATTTTTGAGAAGCAAGAACCATTAATTTATATAGAATGCTTTGTGTATCAAGAAGGAAATGAATTGGATTTGATTGTGTCAATCTAATAAAATTGGTCCGTTAATGCAAAGTGAGGTACAATTTCCACCAGGGGTCGTCTTTGTACAAGTTAAATGTTTTCCGAGTCTTACTTCAGCTGAAGTTTACGCTGAAAGCGATTAGTTCATCTAAAGTTTAGATAAAGGCATCTAAAGTTTAGAAGAAGGCACTACATTTATTGTACAAATGTTGTTATCATCGAAAAAGAAATAGAAATAAAAAATAGAATATAAGATAAGAAATAATAAAAAATAATAAATGAAGTCGTCTTCAAAGTCAGGCTTATAAAATGATTTTTTTCCACAGAAATTGTTATTACTTTTTTTTAGCCAAATCACTTTCTTTTTTTATTTATGCTGTGTCTTTATTTCTTTTATTCTCAAAAGTTTAGATTATTTATCTTAGATTCAAGGATTCAAAACTCCACTTTGTCTTTAAGATTTGTGTACCCCCCCCCAACACCCCCCACCCCCCACCCCGTTAAAAGAGGCGGACCACAGCTACCCCAGATTCACTTTCAGATTGAAAAGATTTAAGTGAACTGAGATGAACGACCGCTCAGACTGTGACTTGATTCTCTCACCCACTGACCTCTAGAAGTCCTCTCTAATATCCGTGGAACAGATTGGAAATGAGGATTTTTCTGTCACTGTTGATGGCGATGTCTGTCTGTGGTGAGTTTTTATTTATTTCTCTGTTAATATCGTCATGAAATCCAAGCCAGATTTAGTTGTAAAGTTATTCAGTATTGCGCAATTTAAAGCAATTCTTATTAAAGTCAGTGCTTTTCACATATCCATTAAACACCAATGACGTATTGCGTATAAAATCCCTTCTCCAATGTTTAAAATGATAAAGCAGAAATCAGACAGCGCTAAGTCCGAACCTGTTACCAAGTTCAATACATTTGAGGGTTGGAAAAACGTGTTCAAACAAGCACAGCTTACAAAGATGTAACCAAATCTGGTCGTTACATTATGAGAGATGTCTTAACTTGTTTTAGTTCTTCAAATCTAATACCTTAAAAGAAAGTGAGTTTTTGTTTACTTTTCTGTTAATATCGTCATGAAATCCAAGCCAGATTTAGCTGTAAAAGACTGTACTTGCAGCAGTTCAGTATTGCGCAATTTGGAGAAATTCTTATTAAAGTCAATGCTTTTCACTAAACATATCTATTAAACACCAATGACATATTGCGTATAAAATCACCAAGTATTAAAAAAATGAGTCAAAATATATTTTTTCGAGTAGACAGGATTTGTATTTTGTATTTTGTATTTTTTGCATATTATTATGCATTATCTTGGTGCATGTAGACATGTTGAATGTTTCCCCTGTTGATTTGATTATAAAGATATTTAAAATGTGATAGCAGTAGTAGTTACTTTACAGCAGGAGCCAGTTTTACCAATTGCATTTGTTCCACAGTAAGTAGTAGTAACAATCCTGGCCAAGTGACACTAATATCTGTGGAATGTCTTGACATTCAGAGCTTTACTCTCCTGGGTAAGTTTATTACTCAACAAAGGGGCGGGTTACAAAACAAGGGAAAATTCGTCCTCTCAGATCCCAATAACACATAGATAATTGGCGTTTTGACAACATGTGGTAAATCTGCACACTCTTAGATCAGGATAAAACTTTGAGTTTCCAGGACCTAAAAGAAAAGTTTGGTCTCCAAAATTAAGATAAAATAAAACAAAAAATAAATTTTTATTGTCATTGTAATACAGAGATACAACGAAATTGCGCCTCTGCTTTTAACCCATCACCAAGGTTAGCAGTGGGCATCTGTCAGGAAACTTTCTCTGTTAGATAGGACTTTAAAAATGCTCTTAGTTCGTACCCCAGTTTCCTAAAACACAAAAAAATTAAAATAAAGATCAAATAAAGGTCTGATCAAATGAAGAATCAAATACAAGACCTCAAGTTTTAAAAGTTTTACTTGCAAGCAAGGAGTGCAGAACAATGGTTACATTCAGAACTGCACTGAGGAACTCCTCAGTGCTCAAAGCTTAAATACAGTTTTTTTTACATACACATCAATGGTCAGCACCTTAACCCTTTACAGCCATGTGGTATTCATGCACAACTTCTGAGCGCTGATTGACTGCTTCAAACAAAGATTCTCCACCAATAGATGTACATGTACATGTGCTGAGCTATTCTGCTCAGTAACTCAAGTTAGATCAAAGAAATGCACTTTGGATTGTTTTCCTTTTTGATGTTCTGTTTTCCTCATTATTTGGGCAGAGAAACCTGAGACCTGTCTCTATGTCCAAGCATAACAGTCAGTGCCATCAGTACCCTACACCATCCTGTTATGTAAACCATCAGCATGCACACCTTTCTTCAGTACTTCTCCTTTTAGTACAGCATTTAAAAACAAACAGTATAAATTGATATGGAAACTTAATCCAATGAATATATTGTAAAGATTGAATAAATGTATTTACAATATCTTAACAGCATCTTTAAGCGCCGGGGAGCAGTGTGTGGGGACAGTGCCATGTTCAGAGCACCTCAGTGGTAACGTGGCAGCTGGTTTGCTTCATTTAAGCTGGAACACTTCTAAAAGTAGTGTTTTAAAGGAAGAGTTTCTTTCCATAATATTGTAATCTTGAAATCTGGTTTTAAGACTCAACCAAAAATATCATAAAACTGAAGTAATTATGGTGAGTGTCCTTGGCTCTACAGGATTACTGTACTTGTGTGGTGGGAGTTCAGTGGTGGGACTTTAGCTTCCTACAATCCATGAACATGGACAGTGGGCAGTTGGCTAATTGGACACTATGTCTCTATATAAGGCCCTCTGATGGACTGGTAAACTCCATCAGAAGGCCAGCCCTCCTCCAATGTTTAAAATGATAAAGCAGAAATCAGAAAGAGCTAAATCCGAACCTGTTACCAAGGTCAATACATTTGAGGGTTGGACAATTGACACCCGTTGAATTCAAATGAATCACACATCAGGGCGTAAGGAGATGGCTGCGCTATCTCAAAAAGTCAGTGGTCACACCATGAGACTACACAGTACAACAGGTGGTGGTATGTGCCTAAAAATGACATCTTTATTGTGTTTACAGGTAAAGTAAATAACACAGGCAACTTTAATGGCAACGTACTGCTGCCATGTGACTGCTCGACCGAAGCCTTTCAATGGCAAATGGAGCATCCTATGTTGGCTCTAATGTTGATGCACAACCACAACAATACAGAAGTCAGTGACAACTACAAGAACAGAGTTGAAATAGTAAGAAGGGAGAACAGCGGCGACTGCTCTGTCCTCCTAAAAGACATCAAAGCCAGTGACCAGGGAAAATACTCATGCCGCTTCCGTAGCAAGGATACTAAGAATATTACTTACAAGTATTATATGATTCATCTCAGCATTTTTGGTGAGTAAAGCATGTTTCAGGATACATATGGAAAGTACATACAGTTTTCCCACCTTTAAATCACATTAACAGAACTTTCTTCTCATCAGATAAATACACTGTTTGTATGACTGATGATTCAAGTGGGAATACCTACCTGTGTGATGTACAAGGACATAACCTGCAGGCTGGGATTCAATGGCTTTTAAATGGAACAAGTAACTTGGCCTCAGCTCAAGTAACCTACACAACTTGTGTTTGTGATGATACTGGCTACTGTCATTTAAGGAGCAAACTCACTACGTACTACCCAGGGGCTGTATGTTCTGTGAAGACCGAAGACATCTCACCTCACTTCAACATATGCAGTGGTAATAACCATGGCAACTATTCAACTGTTTATTCCACAGATAAAGCACCCAGATCATCTGGAGAAAAGTGCCTAAGTTACTTCAATGACCTCCCCAATGTTTTACAGCTTGGACTGTGGACTTTGGTCTGGTTGAAAAGTTGAGAAGAAGATGAAGGTTGAAACCAATATTATTCTTGCTTCAAAGTCTGTGAAAAAGTCTGTGAAAACATTTTAATTGCTTTCCTAAGATGCATAGGCACTAAGACCAAGGAGAACACAAACCAAGGGAACTATACACTTTCTACTGGCAGTTATTACCAGTTGAGCTGGACCTCTATAACCACCAGTGGTTGATGATTCTTGATATCCATCAGTGTCAGACTTGTTTCACCAGAGATACAAGGAGTGTGGACTAAAAATTAATTTATTCAATTATTCATCTTCTTCCATGTAGTCGATAGGCTGGAAAGTTGTCCATATAACCTGTGTCATTGTGACACAGCACATCACCCCAGTGGGACCTGCCGGCTGGTGGATTTGCACCTGCAACCTTCCTGACATAAATCCTCTTTCTTAACCACCAACTACCCAGAGAAAGCGGAGAAAACCTATCCACTGACTGTGGGTGTATTCATACAGAAAGAACATCGATTATCTCCTAGGATTGCACCAGTGGATCATTTTGATGTGAGGCAACACGATGAACCGCCCCTTGCCATTTGGCCTGAAATGACTTGTACATAAAGAAAAAGAGCCAAAAGCAGAGATGCCTTGGCATTGACAATATTATGGTTTTGTCATTTTATTATAAAAATCACCATTCCAGGACTAATAGTTCACATGTGCTGTCGCCTCTTCTTTCACCTTATTCTGGCCACTTTGAGCTCTGCATATTAAAACACTCTCTATGTATCAATATGCAACAGAGTGTCAATTGTAACATTATAAAACTGAGCCACAAACCTCTTTTTCACTAAGAGTAACATTGAAAGCAAAGCGAGTTTACCTGTTTGATGTGATGTGTTTGTATGATTTTTAGAAATTATATATTTTTTTTTACTGAAATGTACTCCACACTGAATGTACATATATTTTACATTATGTGTATTCAAATGTACCATATATAAGATTAGACTTCCTTAACTGTAAAGATACGTAAAATACACAAAAACATAAGATACTTTTTAGTAGGAAAAGGGAAGGAAGTAGGAACAACAACAAATACTTTAAATTTTGTATCATTACTCAAGTATGTTTTGAGAAAGCAGAGGTAAAGGTCAAAATAGGAAAACACAAAAGATGTTCTTTCTCAGGTATGAAAGAAACAAAAACTCACTCCATGTTTGGATAGCAGAGTGTGAGAACATGCCTGTTAAATTTGTTGTGAAACCTTTCAGAGTGTGTAAGATCCTGCCGTCCTCAATAATCCAATATGTGAGTAAACACATTGTGAAGAATCAATATTGATATTTATTGAAGAAGTTTTTGAGCATGTTATTGTTTAAAAACACATTTTCTTTAACTTTTTATCAAAGTACAGAATGAAGTTAGAATGATTAATTATCACCAAAATCAAAGTGGAGTATACCAGAAGGAAGGAGAGCGTGTGTACTTAGTTTATACAGTTGCGAAAAACATGGATAAGTGTAAGTGGTTGTAAAGTTTAAGGAGTGTCATGAAAATTAATATTATTATAGGAAGGTGTGTACAAAGAAGAGGGACAAGTGAGAGTGACAACAGCCTGGAGGGTAAAGTATAAAACCTGCTGACTGATAACTAAGGCATGAGTCATGAAATATTGTGATGTTGTTAAGGTAAATACAAAAATCAAGTACTCAACATGATATGCACCTAATATACCTAATATGCAGGTTCTTTTTTGTGAAAATGGAAAGAAATTTGTGTTTGTTATCATTTTGTATCTTGAAATTTGAAAAAAACATTGAAGACATGATTAATATTGTCCTGTTCGGTCTTACAGTCTCTATCGATGCCATGCGTCGCCAGTACGTGACTTTTTTCCACGAACAGGAGCCTGGTCTTTAGTTCACCCGTGTGAGAACAGGCTATTACAGGCAATTACAGCCGAAAACTCTGCTGTAACAGCTGATCTCAAGTTTACTCACGTCTAACGATACGTCATCATTATGTGTGACGTCCCAGGAAGTGATACAGCGGAGGGGTTAGCTCAAGGCTAACTGAGGGAAGGAAATTAGTCTGTGTTTTGATCAGTTAAATGTTTCCGCAATTCTGGACAAGGCTAACATTTTGTCCACGGTAAGCGTTGCGTTTTCGAACAGCAATAAAAAATTTAAATGTCCGCCAAGTTGTTACATCTAAACGAAGTGAGTTGACGGTGAAGGGTACTAATGTTGCTAATGTTGGAAGGTAGTCTGGTAATTGTAGCTAAAATCAAAACGAGTTGACAAGATTCTTCAGTACCGCTCACCAAATGATTAGAATGCTACGACAGCAGAGGTGGGGCTCTTTAGATGCCTGAACATCGCCATTTAGAGAGACAATGAAAAGTTTGTTTTTGACATTTTCTGTGAATAGTTACAATGGTTTTATTCAGTATAGACACATAATCCACATCGTGCCTTAAAATACTACTCAAAACGCGTATTTGTACCATAATAATGTTTATCTAATGTACTGTAGAATGAATAAAGGCACACATTTTAATTAATATTAGTTTCTTTGTCCCTTACTATTATACTAGATTGCAGTATATTTACCAGTATCCCTAGACCATTATATGCAATCTAAGTTACAAATATGCATTACTCTGCTTAAGACAAAAGTCTTAAGTTTCATCTGTGAAACATTTAGTAGTAAATAACTAACTAGTAAAGTCAAGTAAATTCTGGAGCCATCATATTTCAAATATAACACAAAGAAATAATTAAATGTTGCCTTCCTTTGGTATTTTGGTATTTTGAACTTTTTTCTTTTTTCCAGGAATTGTGAAGCTCATTAGTGCTTGATCAGATATGGGCCAGAGAGGAAGAGCAGTGTTGCAGAGTAATGCTTCACAACAGGAAAGTTCTGGAACTTCCCAAGATGCTCTAAAGCACAACAGGAAGCATAACATTTGCATGGTGTCTGATTTTTTCTATCCTAATATGGGAGGAGTGGAGAGTCATATTTACTTGCTTTCTCAGTGTCTGATTGAAAAGGGACACAAAGTGGTGATCGTAACCCATTCCTATGGCAAGAGGAAAGGTGTCCGGTACCTGACCAATGGGCTCAAGGTCTACTACCTCCCCCTGCAGGTGATGTACAATCAGTCCACGGTAACCACCTGCTTCCACAGCCTTCCACTTCTTCGATGTGTTCTGGTCAGAGAGCGCATCACAGTGGTGCATGCACACAGTTCATTCTCTGCACTGGCTCACGACTCACTGTTCCACGCCAAGACCATGGGCCTTAACACAGTACGTGAATGTATAGGATTGGGATAAAATATTCCAAGATCTTTGCACCTTCTCACGTTGATGTGACTACCATTCACAGGTTTTCACTGACCACTCCCTCTTTGGCTTTGCTGATATCAGCTCGGTGCTGACCAACAAGCTTCTGACGATAACGCTGTGCGACACCAACCATATTGTGTGTGTGTCATACACCAGTAAGGAGAACACTGTACTCCGAGCGGCCCTCAACCCAGAGATAGTGTCGGTTATTCCGAATGCCGTTGAATCTACAGATTTCACTCCTGATCCCTCGCAGCGACGAGACGACAGGATTACTATTGTTGTCATCAGCCGTCTCGTCTACCGTAAAGGTACAGGGATGGGTTCAAACATTCTGTGTGTTTTGAAGTTCTGATAAACCTATTATTAGTGTGTGGAATTATTGGCCTGCAGTGGAACTGCATGTATTAACCGTATCTTATAGTCCTTAATTTAAATAGTTTTGAAAATAAGTAATAAAGTATTTCTCCCTCCAAATAAAATAATTAATACTTTTCAGGGAGAGTAAAATCTTTTAAAAGGCTTGGTCTCCCAATTTTTGAGCTGTAAGGGGAGCGAAAAGATAAACTTCCTGTCTGTTGTTTTATTTTTGACAGTCCAGATTTTTCTTTTACAATACAAAATTTTATTCTTGCCATATTTTTCCTTCTAATTTAGTAACTCATTGGCAACTAGACAGTACATAGTTAACAAGATTTGAATTTTCTATGCTTTTTAAAATTTCCCCTTCATTAATGCTATGATTTATTAAAAAGATGTTTGATTCTACATCATACTTTTTAAGTCTACATGTAGTTGTGTTCAATTTTTGTTCTTGAGTATCACAGCAGTGTAAAAGATGTAAAAGGAAAAGTTTGAGGACTCATTTTGAAAGCTAAATTTCACTTTTATTTTTTTCTTCAGGGATCGACCTCCTGGGAGGAATTATTCCAGAGCTCTGCCTCAAACATCCTGATCTTAACTTCCTAATTGGTGGAGAGGGACCAAAGAGACTTGTGCTGGAAGAAGTGAGAGAAAAGTACCAACTGCACGACAGGTACTTTTTTTACTCTCACAATACAGAGGGCAGAGTGATTAAATGTCTTTATCGGATGTGTTGTAGGAAAAATGTCATGATGAGTAAACTTTCCCGGCTCTGTCATTGTTAGCTGATCTTGTAAAATAGGTGCAATTGTGAAATTAAAGTGAGTAAAGCATCATTGATGTTATAATAAACCTGTGATATTTCTTTGCATTGGTATAGTTTTACTTAAGCTTCAATTGTATATTTGCAGGGTGCGTCTTCTCGGGGCCTTGGAACATAAAGATGTTCGTAATGTTTTGGTGCAGGGTCACATTTTTCTCAACACGTCTCTGACTGAAGCTTTCTGCATGGCCATCGTGGAAGGAGCCAGCTGTGGACTTCAGGTTTGAAATCTCCCATGTAATACATTTCATCTGGAGCTCAGTTGTTTTTGTGTTTTTTTTTATTAGTTTTTAAAACGTTATATGAAGTACTTGATTTGCCTATGAAACACAAAGGTCATAACTCATAACGTTTACCATCACAGAAACATCTGTATTGTGTTTCTAGTCTTCCAACCAGAGCTTAAAAAACCAGATTGAACACATTAAGGATCTCAATTGTTATGGGAAACTGTTGGAACTCTCACAAAAATCCTGGAAAGGAATTCCTTTGTTGCCTTATTTGTAGGCATTTTGGCTAAATTTACTTTAAACAAGACAGGGTAGTCCACAGAAGTTTAATCTGAGACACCCTCAGCTGCACAGTTGCTGAAACATGACTTGGTGTTTAACCCATGAGGACAGCTGGAGGTTGTAATTATTATTGTTTTCGAGTGGGAAGGATACCATGATTGAAAACACCTTGGAGAGCCAGCGCAACATGTTGTTCTTTCAGAACTAGATTGAACTGGTCTGTAAGCACAGTATTCCAAACAGTGTGTTGTAGAAATTGCCCCAGTCATTACGCCCCACTTCCTTCCGTTTTGTTACGCAACAAGGAAGTGATCTCAGAATGAGGTCAATAGGAATAACATAACATAACACAACAGTAATAATACGACAGTCCATACAAAATAGTGATGATCTTGAATTTCTATTTTTAGTTATGAGTTATGTTATTTAAATTCATTTTTATTATTGTACAGAGTGTCGTAGTCTGTTCTTTACATGACTGTATTTCCCATTATGGGCCCAGCTATTCAATATGAATAAAATGCGGCCTATTAAAGAAATTGTTTGGTTTTATTCTTATGTTTAGTGTCAAATAGTCAAATAATATATAATAATAATAATAATCAATTTTTTGTAACTGTATGTGTCAACTAACATATCAAGTCATTCTTACTGTGTGGGATTTCTCATTTGATTTTGAAGGTGGTGAGCACTTGTGTCGGGGGCATTCCCGAGGTCTTACCTGAGGATCTTATCACCCTGTGTGAGCCAAATGTGCGGTCATTATGCGCCGGTCTGGAGAAGGTCATTGCCCGGCAGCGGTCTGGCGCAGTCCCTACTCCAGCCTCCATCCATGCCAGGGTGAAAAACCTATACACTTGGAGAAATGTTGCAGAGAGGACAGAAAAGGTATTTGTATTTGTCACAGAGAACGATACAGTAACTTCTTTTTTTAATGGTACGAGTTATAAATGTCGCTGTGCGTATGTCTTACGCTACTGGCAGCTTATAGATGTCACATAACTCATCTGACCATTACAAATTATAATAATTATGAATTATAAAAATAACAAGTTTTAGTACATTTTATTTTTGCATTGTTCTCCATTGAGCTTAAAATACACATTAAATAAGTTGAAAGAGAGGAGGAAAAAAATCCAAGAATATATACAATTTTCATACGTAAGTCTAAACAGGAAACACTTTCATTCAGAAAGAATGTAAAACTAAACCGAAAAACAAGTGGTACTGGATGTGGTTTGTTAATGGGAAGATGCGAGACGGTAGAATACACAAAAGGAAGTTGGATGAGTTAAAATTGCTGCTTTTCCTCACTGCTATTTTGCCAAAAAAGTGTTACAATTTATGTGTTTTTTGTGTTTTTCTTCTCAGGTGTACGACAGAGTGGTGGGAGAGGAGGTCCTTCCGCTGCACATGCGAATACAAAGGCTGCGGTCTCACTGTGGTCCTGTTGCTGGCTCTATCTTTGCCTTCGTGGCGGTCCTGGACTTCCTGTTTCTGCTGCTCCTGCAGTGGTTGGTCCCAGACCAAATCATGGACTTGGCAGTGGATGCATCTGGTCCATTCGGAATGTGGAATCAAGAATCGGGCATTAAAAAAAGAACCTCATCTCAAAAGAGCTAACGCGCTACCTCACCTCTAACCACCAGAGGTCACACTTATCATGAACAGTCTTAGCATTGTTTACATTTTCTTATCAAAGGGACCTTGTATAAAAGTATTTGTTCTGACAGATCGAAGGACTATATATTTTTATTAACATAATGCAGCATCTTGTGTACAGCACTGACCAGATGGGGTTGAAAGGGCTGAACACCCGTAGACACTAATGTTGCACGCACTTTTGTTTTATTATTGGAGCAACAGCCATATTTCTTTTAAAGAATATCATCTTCTCAAACTCTGTGGTTTTTAATTATAGCGTTCAGAGGAAGACGTCTTCATTTCACCTGACAAACAAGATACTGTGGGTTTGTACAACAGCAATGCCCTGATGAAAGCGGGGGTTGCACAAGTCATTAACCAAAAATCCACCTCAGTGAGCCTGTCAAGCAGAGCAGGAACAATTAAATCAAAATTAAAAGTTTAAAGCTTGGTCTGTTTTTTCTATGGTATTTTACCTGTGTTATCTACAGCCTCGTGGCAGAAACTCCTAAGACCAATACGAGTAAACACACTTGAGCATGTCTATTCAAACATCAAGCATGCTAACAGAGCAACCCCCCTACCCTTCCTCGGACAGTCTGACCATCTCTCTGTGTTTCTCTTTCCAGCTTACACCCCCCTCAGAAGGCAAACAGGACCAGCCACCCGAACCATCAGAGCCTGGCCTGATGATGCACTCCAGTTGCAGGACTCCTTCGTTTCCAGACACTGGTCACTTTAAAATCTCTCTTGCACAACTGCACAATTTTAATAATAAAATCTGCAGTTCTTCTATATTTATAATGTATATATACTCTGTTCTGCTTGACTTGCACTACCTCCTGGTATCTTCTTACAGTGTTTATATATATTGTTGTCTATATATATTTCTTTTTTTCTCCTGTTCTGGTGCATAGTGGCTCTTTGGGAGCACCTTCACTTTCGTTGTACCCCCGCCTTATAATGACAATAGAGACTATTATAGTCTATTCTAAAAACATGGCAGTGAATAAAACGTTGGACCAATACCGTTTAGAACCAGTTTTACCAAAGTGCAATAGCTCTTGGGTGGGAAGGGTCACAGACAAAACACAAACCTGTGACACAGGAGGTGATAGCGATGGGAGGAGAGGCCTGTTGAAGGAGGACAATGAAGATTTGCATTCTGTTGTGATTGCAGGTTATGTCAGGGTGGTGGACACGTGTGGCCTCCTGCCAATACAGTAACTGTAACTACAGATCTTGGACACAAATATAGGCATGATTAAGTTTAAATTTACTTGAAGGCATCTTTGACTGGTTTTCTATTGCAGTAAAATGAAAATCTCTCCAAGTACAGCAGTGTAATCAACATTTACAGTAAATACAGCAGCTGTGTGTTTAGTACACAATAATATGGGAAAACCACAGAACTGAGCAGAACTTGTCTACATACTTGGCAGCACAGCACACAGCTCTTGTGTGAAACTTTTCAAAGGATGTTTGTCCCTCAGTTTGTGGCTGTATGTACATTTGCGGGATTCAAAGGTTTTTACAATTACAGGCCCGTTCCCACAACCCATTGTTACACAAGTGCGTCTGTGGATTGGGGTGGGGGTAGGTGGGAGGTGGTATTATGGGGGAGGTGACCAAGGACCCAGATAAGAGGAGGATGGTGTACAACCTGGCGCAGGACTGTGTGTCTTTGTGGGTGACTTGATCTGCGTGAGTCCTGTCAGCTCTGTGGGATTCTGCCAGTGTTACGTTTATCATGGCTGCCGTGTGCACACAACCTTGGCAGAAACCCCTCCAAATCTACGGAGGTTTGGTCTTCAACCCTCTGATGGCTGGTAAATATCAGTTTGGCTTTTTCAACTGAATATTGGTGGTGATTTAAGAGTTCTCATAAGTCAATTTTATTTTTGATTCATGGAAAATTGGTGATGTCCCTGTAGAGGTGGTGATTTGGCTTTAAACAGACTTGTACAAAACAATTTATGCTTCAGTCGTTTCAATTTTTCCTGTGGGATTTCATGATGATTCAATCTAAAAAAAACGTATGTGTGTTTTTAGAAAGTTTTACTAACTAACTTTGAATGACCTGTATTCAGTCACGGTCATGTCATCTAACCCATCTGCAAATCTGGAACTCATTCTGTTATCTGTCTCAGACTGTGAATCAGACAGAACTCCTCTACATGATGCCGCCTACCAGGGTCGGCTGCTCCACATCAGAAACCTGGTAGCTCAGGTAAACCGATAACGTCTTTTTCTGTGATAGCTACCAACGTAATTATGATGCAAAAATAATAATTGTTCTTCCTCGTCTGGCAGGGCTTCCATGTGGACACACTCACCTTGGACAGAGTGTCTCCTCTCCATGAGGCATGTCTTGGTGGGCATTATGTTTGTGCAAAGTTTCTGGTAGACAATGGAGCCAATGTATGTATACTTTTTTTTTTTTTTTTACTTGCAGTCATGCAAACTGGTTCATAGTTTTTCTTATCTGATACTTCACACACTGATTACAAAGGATTATTTATACTTTCTGTTTACTCTTTTAAATGTTAAATTCCTGTGGGTTTTTTAGAACCAGTCAAACTGGGTTTTACGGAACCTCCAAAAGGAAATAGATGGCACTTTTGCACTGATGTGTATCAGGGCACACCCATCTGCAAGCATGTCAGTGGTCTATTGGCTACACCATTGCATTGTGGGTAAAAAGACCACACAAACAAAAGTAAAGTAAAACAAAAAAAAAACTGTATTTTTCGTCAACGAAAAGAAATGGCCACCATTAAACATCATTAAATTGTCCACCACTACCATAAAATGTTTTTATTAATTTGCTGGAGTATTATTAGTTTCCTAGTTTTCACTATCAGATTCAAGGGAAAACCTTTGTGGTTTCCCCCTAACCAATCACGTCCCATTATCTGAAAAACTTAGAATTTGTAATGTATAAGAACTGTAAGCCAGAATAACTTTATTGTTTTTTTTACATTAAAATTATTTAATAAAAATACAAAGAAATATACGTAAATGCAGCTGCACAAAATTGGCAAATAAAAAGGAAATTTAAAAAATGTCCAAATTAAGCCATAAAGTAGCTACTTTATGCAAACACATACACACAAATTAACACTTTGTTGTATTTAGCCAAACACTGCAGAATGGGGCTAATAAGTTGCTAAACATAAATCTGAAGAATGCCTAAAATATGGGCAACATGTTTTACAAAAACCCTTGTTATGATAATATTTTCAACAAAAATGAACGAAGACACAACTTCACTTCGATATATTCAATTAAGCTTTTCTTAGGATTTGATTTCTTTTTCGTTTCCCTCCACAGGTGGACATAGTATCAACAGATGGCGCCACACCTCTCTTTAATGCTTGCAGCAGCGGGAGCTCAGCTTGTGTCAGGCTCATTCTTCAGCACAGCTCTTTTCTCAGCACCACCTATCGGCTGAAATCACCCATACACGAGGCCGCAAGAAAAGGTTTGTGTGTTACTAATGTTAATAGATCTACTAGGTTGTTAGTAGGTAGATCTACTACGGTATTTACAATGATTGGTAATATTAAGGTGAAAATGACCGCAAAATGCTGAAAAACTGTTAGATCACACAGAGTGTCTGGAGCTTCTTCTGACCAGTGGAGCTCACATTGACACGGAGCTGCCAGTGACGGGAACACCACTGTATTCTGCCTGCCTCACTCAGGCCACAGCATCCGCGGAGTTGCTGCTAAATGCAGGTAAAAATGTGAGCACTTTATTCTTGTTGAATCTGTACTTGAGGTTTTTGTGTCTGTAAACCCCCACCCCACCCCACCCCACCCCACCCCCAGTTTATGGATGTTTATGGACCTTCAGAAATGTTACTTTTCATCCTGCTGCTTTACTTTGTTAATGATGACCTCTGTCTGCCTGTATGCTCATACAGGGGCAGATGTCCAGTTAGGTTGTGGGCTGGACAGTCCGTTGCATGCTGCAGTTCGAAGTGGAGGTGCAAACATCGTGGACCTTCTACTGGACTTCGGGGCAGACAGATGGTGCAGGAACACGGAAGCTAAAACACCTCTGGACCTCTCATCAACCAACACAGCAGTGAGGACTGCACTGCAGCAGAGAGGTTTGATACGACACACTGCCGTGTTCATAACAATCATTAATAACCAGCACATGCTCAGTAATCTCCTCCTCCTGTCTCCTCCTCAGGTGCCTGCTCTTTGTCTCAGCTCTGTCGCTTCTGTGTTCGCAGAAGTCTGGGAAGCAAACGTCTCCACAGGATATCAAAACTTTTCCTTCCTCACTCAATCCAAGATTTCCTCCTCAACAAATGACCAGTTTTCCCAATACACTCCTGTGATTTCTCATGTATCACATACACACACACATTCTTCCTTGTGGCTGGCCTGTGGGCAGGAGGTGTGCACAGCAAAGATATGAACAAATACGGGGGTGTATTTGAGCTTTTTAAAAAGCCTTTGTTGTGCATACGTTTTTAATGTTGTGAATTTAGGAAGGGCTGAAAGTCTTTCCTAACCATCAAAAAATGTTTCTGTCTGAATAATTTAAAGGGTGTTTATCTACAAAAAATAACAGTTATATAAAATCCTCAACCTGGGCTTTACCTACAGCGATGATTGGTCTGTTATCCAGTTATATTAGGGTTTGTCCAAATTCCAGACCTGGGGCCAATCATGGCACTTGGACAAGTTTGATGTTGCCGAAAATACATATCCAATATAAGGAGCTGTTCCTACTGCCATTTTGTCCCAGTTGGTACGTATGTATTCTGGCAACCAAAAACTTTTCAAACACCTTTCATTTGCTGTTTTTGTTGTAATCATGGCTATGTAATCATTTTTGGTTAGTCTGGACAAACTCTACTGTAGTTTGACTTTTATCGGATCAATTATAATTATATTTCTTGCTCTGTTTATATGTTAAATATTTAGTAGCAAAGTCAATCTGTATCCTGTATTTTTACTTTAACAGACCAACACATACTGTACATCAAAATATGCAAAAAGAAAAAATCAAACACCTCCAGAACACAGTTGGCTTAGCACTGGGCTGTGTTTTATTTATTTGAGGCAATGCTTAGAAACCCTAAATACTGTGACCAATCTGTTCAATTAACAAAAATGACAGGATGTTTAAAAGCTTGGTTTGCAGAAATCAGCCCTAACTGTAGTTTCTGTGAATGACAAACTTGAATAAAACATATTTTTTGTGGGATGTAATAACCTGTTGACATTTTTGGTGAACGTAAACCACAGACACCACTTTTCACCACCTTTTTTATTACCTGTGTTTCGTTAGGGAAATTAATCATCTCTCCTCAAATGCCACTCAAAGGTCTGTTCTTCAGGGACCTGTGTTGGTCTGGATGAGGTTTAATGTGGATTAATGAAGGATTTCTTTTACTGCAATGAAAAACATCAACCTTCAACCTTCAGAACACCAGTCCAAAAAGACAGGCTTTGTTTGTTAACATCAGTATTTAGTCTGTCATCTTCTACCAATGACGTCTTGATCAAAATAACAAGACCGCCTTTTATTTTGTAACACATAATAGGATTCACATGATGAAGCTCTTTTCCTCATTCCTCAGGAATTAATAAATTAGAAGCTTAAACAGATTCTGTCTCTGAAATTCACAAGAAGAAGAATGAGAAACAAGAACCTCAGAGTAATCAGACCTGTGAGTTACATCAGACAGTTGTTACGTTCGTGCTCACGCTGTTCTGGCTCCTCATCCGTCTGGGCGACGTGCAGCACAGCTGCTGGTGGAAGTGTTTGCTGAAACTTTTGCTCATCATGTAAAGAGCAAACGGGTTTACGCACGAGTTCGCAAAGGCCAGGATGCGAGCACACACACTGGCAATGAAGTGGCCCAGCGACGTGTCTACGTGTTCATAGTGGAAGGAACGGTACAGGTAGATCACATGACTGGGCAGCCAGCAGACGGCAAACAAGCCGACAAAGACCAGCACGGTTTTGGCCAGGCGTTTTCTGGACTTGATCTGAGAAGGAAAATACAACAAACTAGCATTTTTTACAAGAGTCTGGGCGATATTGATTCTTGAAATTATGAAAAGAAGTGTGTATTTATTCATCTTCTCCTCTTTCTAGGGAGTTCAGAATAAAGGACAGTACGACCTTGTTCATTTACATATCCATCCATCATCCATCTATTCATCATCCGTAGATCCAATACATCTCTTCACAGATTCACAGTCGACCACAGAATAAATTCAACTGAATTCATGGTAAAACACCAGATTACCCCCCCCCCCACACACACACACACACACACACCTGCTTCTGGATGTGAGGGTGTCCCTCAGCAGGCATGTCCACCGAGCTTCTGACCAGACTACGAGCGATGAAGCAGTAGTAGACAGATATGACGAAGAGAGGGACTACGTAGAAGACAAGGAAGAAGGCCATGGAGTGGATTTTCGGGTGCAGCGCCCCCTTGTGTGGGTAGGGTGCACAGGTCACGAATGTCTCGTTAGTGTGGCTGGTGGTGAAAGTATGGAGGTCAGAGAAGATGGCTTCAGGAATGGCCAGGGTGAGCGACAGCAGCCAGATGGTTGTCACTCGTACACAGACACTGGACCTGTGGATGTCCAGTGGTTTGACGATGGCTTTGTACCTGGAAGAAGAGACGAAACACGAAAGCAGTCAATGAGAAATTTGGTGTTTGTGTCACTAAGAAGGACCTTTTTTAAAAAAAAAAACTACAGGTGACACTTTATTGATGATGCAGTATAATATAATTGCATTATATTATATTATATAGTAATTTAGTAATATGTCAATGACATTGTGTCAAAACACAGCAGAACAGTCTGTAACATACAATATATTGCATTACAAATCAGTACAAATTACTATACTACTACTAAAGAATTAAATAGACTGATTTCTAATATTTGTTACTTATACTTTGTAGAAAACACCTTAGGTTTAGCTTCAAATAAAAATAAATAAAGTGAAAGCTATAATTCCATCGTCTTCAAAATCAGTGACTAAGTCAAGTCTATAGTCAAGTCTATATTTATACATCCATGTGTGCAGTGGCGCCGGTCAGGTGTACCGGTCAGCAGACAGGCCAGTCAGGGTGAACACAGACACTCCCACTGAGGTCAGCTGGATAAACGGGATCATTTTGCAGCCCACCCGGCCGAACAGCCACCGATCCACCAGGTACCGACTGGCGTCCACCGGGGCGCAGGTGATCAGCAGCAGCAGGTCTCCCAGAGCCAGGCTGGACAGGAACACGTTGGGAACCGTCCGCATGGACTTCACCAACAAGCAGGTCTTCATCAGAGTCACGTTCCCTATCAGACCGATGACGATGATGATGCTGTAAACGGCAGCGATGACGATGCCAGGGATCCAGATGGTGAAGTTGGGATGGAGCTGCTGTTCTGGTCTGGTACCGTTCAGAACCGACAAACTCCCGGTGTCCGAAGCAAACGTATCCTCCAGTGACATGACAGCAGAGACAGACAGAAGACGCAGGACGGAGCAGAGTCTGGTCGTCCTGCTGGTTGGATTACCTGTCTTTATAACCACATGCGCTCTCGGTGCCCGCGTCATTTTACGCACGGCAAAAAAAAAAAAAAAGAATAGAAGAAAAATGTCTGGAAAATGTTTCTGATTTGCGATCAATCGGTCTCTTGTCTATTTTCTTTTAGGTCTAACACATATTCTCTAGTGGAGAGAAGAGCAGCAGCTCCTGCCGCCACGATGACCTTTAGTGTTTAAATTTATTACATTTATACTTTCTTTTTTCTTTTTTCTTTTGGTATGCTTCTTCAGTGTGGAATTAAAGGTTAAACTTTGCTTTTCATGTTTAAACTCCACACACACTTCTGAAAATAGATATTAGATGGCAGCAGAGGCGCAGCCAGGATTTATGGCTCCCAGAGAAGGAAACGACAACCAGACGAATACATTTATTTCAGCTAAACATTTTTGGTGGCTAACAAATAGGTAGCAAATAGGTAGCGACATGCGATCATCGATGATTTTCAGTAAGGAGTTTGTCATTTTGCTGAGAGCGGGACATGTTGTTGAAAAGTGAAATACTAACATTTCTAACAACAAACAAGATGCCAGGCAATGTGCATGTTGCCTGGCTACAGAGAGTGTTGCATTCTAGGACTGTCATCTGAAGAAATTCTGATTTCTAACAAACTTAGTTCAGTTGGACGGCATGTTTGTGGCCCCCGAACCACCGTTTGGTTAGGCTGGACTGACTTAACACAGTTCCTCCCCATGACCACACTTTGAGTCACTTTACGTAGGTTTACCTTTCTCTTCATGGCTTCTTCCAGCTGACAGGGGAGAGGTTTGTTTATGGGCAGGTTACTCAGGATAGGATAGAGCAGAAATAGTAAGGCTGAGGCATGGGACTGGCTGGTATCAGTGTGGAAAACAAATTCCCCAAAACGACTCATTTTTGTTGGTCTGTATGAGTGGGGTAGTGCTGTATCGTTCAAAGAAATGTTTTTTCTTGCGTGTCAGATGGCTCCAACTGGGCTCCTAATCATGCTCCTCATATAAATGCAAATTGATTTCTTTCTCCTTGTATCTAGGCCGTAGATAAGGAAGATGAAATGTGCTTCTTGGAACATGACTCAAAATATTTCAGCGTTTCTTAGATCTGAGAACTTTTCTCCAACTTGGCTCAAAAGCTTCAAAAGGGAAACGTTAAATGTTGTTTCCCGCCGCCGAGCACACTGTGTGTTAATTTGTTTCCTATCATTAGAATGAGCACAAATGTGACATGAAAGTAAACTTCAAATTTGAGAAAAATGAAGGTGACCATCAGAAGATGGACAAAATTATAAATTCCCAGGGCTGTGTGTGCCCTCTATTATCCTCACACGGTCTCCATTTCCAAAAGGCTTTAATTCTGTTACCTTTTTGTCTTTGATGAAAACTGTTGACCTTTAATGGGCAGAACTTGCAATTAGTTCTCTTCTAAAAGGACGACATTTGTTCCCGCACCCATATCTACATGACATTTGTCCCATTATTTATCTCTTTGCATTTAAATTTTGATTCACAAGTCTGGACTTTGGATTAACTACAGACAGGGATCGTCTTTGAAATGGCACGTCAACTCTAATCAACGGACCTGAACTCCTCTGTAATAACAGATGGATTTTTCATTAAGTTCAGTCTGGTTTTGATGACTTATCTCTGAATGCTCTTGGATCTTAATTCTTCAAATATAGAAGGAGAAAGTTAGGTCTTTGTAACCTTGGAGTTCACCACGTGGAGAAAGTCTGTGAGAAACACAAGCCAAGTATGGAGGTTTTATCTCAGAACCCACATTGCATTTCTATGCAGATACAAATGTATAGTGGGGGCAATTTCTCTGAGATGTCTCAAAATTGCACAAAGCATCAGTTTGATGGGGAAAGAGAAGATCCGTCATGGAAGCAGCTCAATAAGGCCCAGGAGGAAAACAGAGCCGGCTAGGAGCTAATGGCACTTCAACACAATTTAGGGTCAGATAATCAGCAGCTGGAGTGCCTGGAATAATATGATCCAGTGAAACGCCACAACACTCAGAGACCACTGTGGACATCAGTGATGATGTCATCAAACCTGAAGATTGTTCATGATATAGAAAAAAGAAGCTGTGACAAGCTTTCCCTGGGACAGGGACCAGACTCAAATACCTGGTGGACACAAAGGCAGGAGACCAAAGGAGAAGTCGAAAATAGTCTTCATTGACTTCATATTGTGTATGAAAATGTTTTATTTGTGTTTACACTGAATGGAAATGTATTTATTATGTGCAAAAGGATAATAGGAACTGGATGTTACGTGGTTGGTTGTGGGGTTGATTCTGTTAGGTGGGGTAGGGGTACCTGGAGATATTTGATCCAGGATGTCATTTTGTGCGGTGTTTATCATTCTCTCTCGGCCTTATTCTGCAGCTGTCGCCAACCCCCACATAGCAAGAAATTGTTGTGGCCAATGTAATTTCCTGGCTTTGAAAAGATGATTTATTTCCTTTCATTCACATTATCATAGTTCAGAAAAGGCCAATCAAAAGTGGCTACTTATGGAAACTTCTCAGCAATCACACACACACACAGTAACAGCCAGTGGTGGAAAAGTGGATACCACGGAGAAATGGGTCAAGTGTTATTTGATCTTGGATTATTTACTTTGATTGCCATGAAACTCTGTTTCATTGCAGGAAAACCAGAGGTGAGTCAGGTTGACTAATGTCTGATGCAAATTCTCAAGAATAGGCCATTGCTAGATAAGTTAATGATGTAAATGAATTTTTATGCATTCTATGTGTGTGCATTTTAGTAATACTTGTACAAGGTCAAAGTACCAGTCCTTGGAGTAGAAATATGAATTTGTATTTTTGTGTATATTTTTGAAATAAATAAATAAATAAACTATGGAAATAGGCAGGAAAGGCAGGAAAACCAGAGGTGAGTCAGGTTGACTAATGTCTGATGTAAATTCTCGAGAATAGGCCATTGCTTAACCCCTCGACTGTTGTATCAGGATGTCAGTAATCGACATCCCTTTAAGAGATTCATTCTAAATACACCAGGTTTGGGGAAGATATTAAGAATCCTCCTGTGTTATACCTTTGTCTCGGTTTGAGGTGGTGGTGAGTGGTGATTTTTTTGCATTCTATGTGTCTGCATGTTAGTAATACTTGTACAAGGTCAAAGTACTAGTCCTTGGGATAGAAATATGAATTTGTATTTTTGTATATCATTTTGAAATATGACTAAAATAAACTATGGTAATAGCTTAGGAAAATAAAACATAAAGCTGAATTAAATTATTTATTATATAAAGGTTTTTCTTTTTTTTCTTTTTTTAAACTTAAACGTGTTTAAATGTCCTTTCCCATTCAATTTATCCAGCACCTCGGACAGCCGCTCGTCGAAGTGAAGGGTTCCTGCGTCATCTGGCGGTACAAATGAAGAACTACAATTCGATAGAGTTAGAGTGACTAAACGTTTCTTGTGATGAAACAACCTGATGTCGAGCCTTTACTTAATGAATCGATTTATTACACAACATATATATATATATAACAAAATAACCTCCTCAGGGGCTACACTTAGCCAAGATGGCTAACGAGGCTACAACTTAGATAGCAGATTATTAACGACACAGGACTAAAAAGCCTGGACGTATTGGAAGGATGAGTACTTATACTGTATATATGAACATCAGACATGCACCACTAAAGACTCCAACATCATCACTGTATGTGGGTAAAGTGATATGGGCATCACTGGTACAAAGAGATTCTGCTGAGGACCAGAAATGTGAAGTGAAGATCTGGGTCTGTTAACTTTACTTCATGGTTTAAGCTGAGAGGTTTCTAGAACAGTCTGGGACACTTTGTCTGTCCCAATATCTGGGTCGAATCCTTGGCTGAGATGTTTGTCTGGCCCACAATTGAACCTTAGAACTTTGATCCTTGACCACAGCCACAAAACTATGAATGGTGCATGGATGTGGGCTGAGAGGCAGCAGGTTTCCCTCAGCCAATATGCGGTCCAGCCATCGCTCTTGACGTCCAATCAGCTCACAGCTGATGGGATTGGATGTCAGTTCCCATCCTTGGATACCTTGACTTGCGCAGGCAAACAAAAATCTGCGTCATTGGCGTGGTGCTGGTGCTGGTGCTGATGCTGGTAGTTGGTGCACCTTCAGCAGCTTCTTGTATCCTTTGGAACGGTGATGGAAAACAACCGCTGCTTCGCAAACCGCTTCTCCGACTACAAAGGTGCGCTGCTGCCGGGCCAGAGCGTCGAGGTCATCGTGCCAACGGTGTTGGCCACCGTGGACAAGGTCCTGAAGAAGGTTCCCATCAACAGCAGCGACTGTGACGGAGGTCTGTACGATGGACCGGCCGGGGTGGCGTACATGCTGTATCACGTCAGCGAGTGTCCTCTGTTCTCCGAGCAGCGGGACGCGTACTTGAAAACGGCCAAGCAGATCATCGACGTGTCGGTCAGATACGTGGATGCAGAGCCGGATATGAACATGCGTGCTGCCTTCTTGCTGGGCGGGGCGGGCGTCTACGCCGTGGCCGCGATGATCTACAAGTCCCTGGGGTTGGCTGACTTCGTCAAGCCGCTCACCAAATTCCGTAACCTGTGGGAGGTTTGTGCGCCCATCAATTTCCTGGAGTGCGGCTCTGATGAGCTGTTTGTGGGGCGGGCTGGGTACCTGTGTGCCGCCCTGGTCCTCAGACAGAAACTAGGCATTGAGGTGAGCTCCCGAAATAAGCACGTGTATTCAATGAATGGATCTGGTTTTTTGTGCTCTAATCAGTATCAGAAATCACTGGAAATGTGACGAAAACGTGCCTTTGAAATGGAAAAATATTAACATACCCTTGAACGTATTATCACAGTGCTTTTTAAAAATGTATTTAGAAAATGTCCCAATGAACCATCTGGTTCTTAGGCAGTGTTCCAGGTCCGAGAAGAAGAAGACCTGGGACTTGTGATTGAGATCAGTTATTTCAATAAAAGAAAACAACTACTGACATTAGAAACCATATCACATCTGTTGTTCTGTTCGTGGATTCACTCTCTAACCACTGCCTGCACCATAGGCAGATACTGTATGTCCATAGTATAGAGTAATAGTCAATAGTCAGCACAGACAAATGCAGACTCCACTAATATGTCCTCTGCACATGACATTCTTTAGTCTCCCTAGCGACTGTATTTTCCGCTTGCTTCTAACTACAGTATTCTGCTCTTTATTTTGTAGATTCTCAGCAAGGACCAAATTAAATCCATCTGCCAGGCCATCATTGATTCAGGTAAACAGTATGCACGGAGGAAGAGGAAACCTTTCCCACTCATGTACTCGTACTACGGAACAGAGTATCTTGGTAAGGAAACTCTGATCACCTAAAACACAAGCTGTGACTCTTTGCTTTGGTGTTGACTTGGTTTAAGTCTGTTTAACTTTGAGAGTAGATTTTGTTCAGTTACGCAGCTGTAAACTCTTGGACAGTTCCATGGTGAGACTACAAAAACAAATAAAAAACGAACAGTGTTCATATGGACTGATGTGCTGGCATGTGTAAATCTAACCTTCTTTTCCTTGACTGCATCAGACGAAGGGAACCGCGAGGACCGGGGATCCTCAGTAACTTTCAGAGCAGCACTGAGTTCATTGTAAGCAGAGACATGCTGGTTGCATGTGCATGGATTGAGGATGACGAGGAATAGAAACGATCGCAGACATTTTAGAGATTAGAGTTAATGGATAGTGGATGTAGAAATGAACAGACCTGGTTGACTCTGCTGCATGTAACACAATCTGCCTGTGGTGAGGACATGCCCTCTGAGGAGCTCCTGACTTTAATATCAGCAAATGTCAGATCTACGGGGATTCACAGACACCAACTGTGAGAGCTGTGTTTTCTTTTCACGTGTCCACCTTACAGTCCTTATGGTATCCCAACAATCCTTCATAGTATTTGACCTTTCTGCAGCCTCGAAGTTTACATGGTTACCATTCAGGATGTCAGTTATTCAAAAATAAAAATCTTTCTCTAATTTAACTGAATTATATGGTAATACAGAAACTCTTCTAAACCTAATAAATCACATTTAAATGAATACAATATTTATATTCAAATATATCCTGAAGTCATTGCATATATAAAAAGGAGAGATTGACATTAGAAATGCCCTGACTAGTAAATATTTTTTCTTGATTTTCTTGATTTAGCTGGAATTGTTAAATGGTGAAAACCATTTCAAGTACTGTGTGTATTTTTTGTTTCTCTATCAACATTCTGGATACCCAGAAACCACATGTAGGCCACAAAAACTTCATCTTCATCAATGTAATTGGGCCAAGATACCATTTTTACTATGTGGGGCTTAAGCTGATTATTTTTCTAGTTCATCACGTACGACCTTGTACTAAATGGTATCTCCACAGAAAGTTTCACAAAGTTAAGGGTCTTTATAGTGGGATATTAGTGACGCTGTTATGTGACTTGACAGGAGCATCATTAGTATGAGGTTTTAAAAAAACGGACCTCTAAACAAACCTTTCATGTATGTGTCCAGTATAAGACTAGAGATAGGCAGTCTTCTGGGTGTGTATGCCTGCTTGCTCTGGGTTGTGTATCTCTACAGTATCTACCTGGCATGTTCCTTCACTGCATGTCTGGATTGTTGGCTTGGACTGTAATGACACCCCACTGCCCACCTTCTGTTAGGTGCAGCCCACGGCCTTTCATCGGTGCTGCAGATGCTCCTGAGTTACCAGGACATGCTCAGTGGAGCAGAAAAGGACCTGGTGTGGCAGAGTGTTGATTTCCTCATGAATCAGGAGCAGAACTGTAATTGGCCCGCAGAGCTAGGCGCCATCATCGAGAGGGAGAATGAGCTGGTGCACTGGTGCCACGGAGCGCCTGGTATTTATGGCCAGTCTTTAGCGTTTTCTACCGCACCTCTTTATTGTTTTCATGCAGCTTCTTCATCTTGTCTTGCAGGAGTGGCGTATCTTTTTGCGAAGGCCTACCTGATCAATAAAAAGCCTCAGTATCTGGACACGTGTATCCGCAGTGGGGAGCTGGTGTGGCAGAAAGGTTTGCTGAAGAAAGGACCGGGGATTTGTCATGGAGTTGCAGGCAGTGCTTATGTTTTCCTCTTGCTTTATCGACTCACCGGGAACTCAAAATACATCTACCGTGCACAAAGGCAAGAAATCCTTTCTTTAGTACATCATTTACTTAAAAGCTGTATTCAAAAAATTAAGGTTTGGAGAAAATGTAGCAAAACTTTTAGCCATAATAATGTCAGAATTTTTTATTTCAGCCTGTAATTAATAATTAATATCTATATTAACTCTCACATGAAGACTCCTGGCCAGGGGCCTGCACCACCCTCATGTTCTTCTCTGCCACTTCTGACGTTCTCCTACAGTTTCTTGTGTCTTTCTTAGTGTCTTGGTATCCTTTTATATGATCTTTTTTAAAGTACTGACTCTTAAAAAAATTAGGGAGTCTGAAGTGGCAACAAAGTACATGGTGGTGGTGCTGGAGGGATCTAAGAGGATGGGAAAAGATAATCTATTGTGGCAACACCTGATTGGAGCAGTAAATAGATGTGGCATCAAAATAAAGTTAAATTAGATACACTTTATTTTGATCAACCTATCAAATACAGTACTCTTTATTTTATCTCCTGACTCTTCCTGATTTCTACAACTATTTTCTCCTGCTCTTTCTTTCACTCACTCACAGATTCGCCGAGTTTCTCTTTACAGAGGAATTTAAGACCGGCTCTCGATCACTGACAAGTGTCTACAGTCTGTTTGAAGGCCTGTCGGGGACGGTTTGTTTCTTCGTCGACCTTCTTCAGCCAGAACAGTCAGAGTTCCCTCTCTTCAGTGTCTTTGTGTGAATGGGAACATGCTGACGATAAGAGATGTCATTTCATCCTGTTCTGAAGTCCTGTTAGAGGGTGACATGGTAGAGCTTTTTAGATTCAGAATAGACGCTGTGATTAGAGTGAGAGTGGAGGGAATAGATTCTATTTGTTACAGTCCTAATGCAGTAGTAGAATGGTCTTGTTTTGTGTCTGTACTAAACGTAAATGTTCAGCTTCCAAACTTTGTCAGTCAAGGTTTTCAAACTTCCACATTCCCACAACATTAAGATGGAGGGCATAAAAAAGTACGGTGAGTATGAGTAAAAAAAAGCTCTCTGTGTGCCCTGACCCAGCCTCTGTGATTAGTAGTATCGTTAATAGTTTCCGTCTGCATTACATACATGTACTGCAAACCACTGTGAACTCCCGTCTATATCCACAAATGTGCATATCAAAAAAGGTTTTTGACAATTTCAGATAAATTTAGGAAATGAGGTTGATGCTATCAAAAATAGGGAAACACACATACAATATTGCGGCTTTAATTGTATCGTGTCCACACAGCTTAGCTTGACCTGGTCTATTTAAAATAATAAAGATTTTGTATATATACACAATGTCATTAGCTAAGGAAAAACTTGAGAAAGTTGAGCTGTGCTTTCAATCCTTGAAAGAGTCTGCACTATTTGAACGAGGTTCTTCGTACCTGCTTTTCTAGTGAACACAGGAAGCATATTTAGCAATTTTTTGCCAGAAAGATGCTGCTCTCAGGTCTGTAAAACAAATAGCATTGTTAGCTTACAACATGGCAAATACATCAGAATCATAGGAAGAACAAGTGCCACATAATGCCTTTAAATTTTCTACCACTTCACCAGCTCAGCATCACATATCGCCGACCTTTGACTTTGTCTTTAGGGTAAATAAAATCTCAACTTGTCTTAACCTTTAGGGATAGATGTAGAAGAGAGGCTTTAAAACTGACTACGTTAAAAAAGGTACAGCAAGTAGAACTGAAGGAGTTCAATATTAGTCTATTGTCCTGATAATGATGGTCTTTATGTGCAGTTTTTTATGGTTCACCTGTTTGAAAGTAAGGTTGTAGCTGTGTCTTCGTGTATTTGGTGTTTAGCCATGTGTTAGATTCTGTACAACAGTTATGTTTGAAGTATTAGTTGTGACAGTAAAGAATAAATATGTCCAACGGTATAAGTTTGTGGTGGAGATTAAAAAGAAAAGGGTAAATCTTTTTACATTGTATTTGAGAGTTATGTTGTACTAATTACAGTCAACAGAGAATCTCTTTACATGAATGAGGCCTTAACAAATTTCCAGGTCTGTGACATGACCATGTGTCAGAGCATAAGGAACAACAATGGAAACTGAAAATGCTTTGGTCAGAGTAATGACATGTAGCATCACTTGTTAAATAGCTTGTGAAAAAATAAAAACAGCAAACCAAAGCAGTTTTCCAGTGCTAACTGTGCCTGTTGTGGAACATTTGTACACCGTCTGTGTCTTTGTGCTGTTTTTTTGCATTGGCAGTTGAGCTGTTAAAAATAAAATCAAAAGGATTATAGTTAATAATAAAGTCTTTGTCTTTTTTATGCATTGCATTCATATAATGGCCATTTAACTCTAAATTTCTCATTCCTACATTAATATGATAATGTGTTTCAATACAGTATTAATTGTTAAGGCCACACTAAAGATTGGAATCTAAAGAAGTTTTTAAAATTTCGGATGGAACGTTCTCGATTCTCTCTTGGCACTTCCGTTTATCTGCCACTAGATGGTAGTGTTGCTTGAATAGACAAGTTAGGTAATCGGAAATATTAATTTGAACAAGACAAACTAACATGGAACCAACAGTATTGTGTATCTGTATTGTTGAACTGAATTTGTTTGTATTTTTTGTTCACTCATATTCACTCAAAAATCTTTTTCTTCAACGTTATAATTATATTTCTGTTGATCTGGTGTGTATTTTTCTCCTGTGTCTTTTGGAAACCTGGGAGGCTCTCAACCAAGAGTCTTGGACCACAGAGGAGCTGATGGGTCTGAGCCTGGAGTTGGACTCTATTGTCCCCAATAATTGGATTTGGTCTGCGAGGAAAAATGACTGCCTGTAAGAGGCTGAAATCATTAGGTGTGAATAGGAAGCGTGGTACCTCTTGGCACTTGGGAAAGAGAGAGAGAGAGAGAGAGGGAAACGGGAGATGGGGGGCATATTCTCACTAATGCAAATACATCTGTAATTGCTGTATGTCAATTAGCATCAATTAAGTTTTAAAATGAAAAATCCAATTTCCCCATTAAAACATATAAGCAGAACACCTGAGTATTTTTTGCAACATAGACGGTTTTTGCAAAGAGCAAAGAAAAAAAATTCAACAATGCTATTTCAGAACTCTCCCCCTCATTAACAAAGACAGTACGATACGATATACCAATGCTTTTACTTTGTGTTGAATTGACAGCTCAGTAGAAAAGATCTCCACACAAGGCTGTTAAGTTATGTGTGAAAACTGTGCCTCATTTCTGTAGCAAATGTTATCGAAGCTCTTCTGTGAGACCAAATCATTTGAGAAACATTGACACTGCACTTATTTGTACATTTGTTTGTCAATACGTTTTGGAAAATACTTTTTCCTACAATACTCTCAGACTACAGCTCTGAGTATCATTTCGTGTTCAGCTATCTAATCCCAAGGGTTCACACAGCACCATAGGTTGAATTAGAGGAGGATGTTTTTGTGCGTATATCCAAGTTAATATCAGAGAGAGAGAGAGAGAGAAACATTTACCAGGTACGCATGAACGCAAACTCACATCCACGTGTGGTGTTTCCATGGGGACAACACAACCACTCTGTTCTTCAATAGCAGGAGAGTGAGTGGAGGTAGACAACCATTGTGTTGTATGTGTGTTTGTGTGGAGGGGGCTGGGGTCGAGGTAGCGGTTGAAGAAGGGTTAGAGGGAGTCGTATTAAACAACACACTAGACAGATGAAAGCGCCGCACCCTTAAATCTAATCATAATTTAGTCATCACCACAAGATGGTATGATCAAAATAAAGCAGGAAATAGTTCAGACTGACAGGACACAGAGAGCTGTGAGTGCATGAGTCAAGAGACGGAAGCTATGAGATATCTGTTGGATATAAAATGACAGAGCTTCATGGACAGAGATGGTCTTTTATTCTTCAAGTGTATGTTGTTGTTTTTTTTTTGGACCAATCCTCATATCTGAGCAGAAGCACTTAAATTTAAAAGGGTTCCCAGAGTGCAGATGCAGCCACTATGCAGCGAATGCAGTGAGTCAGTCATAAGAACATGTGTGTATATAAGCCCAAAACATTCTTAACCCCAATCCAAAGTGTTTATAAAAACAGCAAATTACATGACCATGAAGAAATTGTATTAGAACTAGAGCAAATCATCTGTGAAATTTTTGGTTTATTGACATGTAGAACTATCATCCCACATAAGTACTGTAGGAACTAGAACATAATGAGGACTACGGGGTGACATAATTCTCCTGTTTTGTTGTTGCTGTTTATTTATTTTTGATATAGTTTTAGTCACAGAAAATTGATCTGAATCAATTCCAAGTCAAATCACAGTCATGTCTAAATCCAGTTTAATGTTCAAGTAATGGAAGACATGTTTGTTTAAGGTGAAGTCAAGAAAATGTATATAGAATCTTCAACAAGTCTCTGAAGTTTGGATTTAGTTTGTATACATGGCTGTAAGTTGTTTCACTGCTGTTTTAGTATAATATTTTGGAAACTTCTTTTTTTCACATCCACATATTATATTTTCTTACAATGTCACAATAAAGAATTGAAATTGTCTTTGTAACCTGTTGACTACAAATAATTTCCACAAATGTTAGTACAATAGACAGACATGACTCACTTATTCCATAGTCTGTTTCTGTCATATTTTACATTTAGATAATCTTAAAAGATCAAAAATATATCAAAACAGTTGAGCATTTGAGCTAATGCAGATAATCCATCATTAAATCAAACATTTTTAAAAAAAGATTTTGATGTGGACCGTCTAGCTGTTGCACAGATTGAAGTAGAGCTACTTTGTCCCTCTTAAATGTTTTTTTTTCCTCTTTAAGGCTCACACTTCGGAGGCTGGGGCAGCTTCAAGCAGTGCATTAGAGAAAATACTCTCCACCTTTGCTTTGTCTTCCACTCTCTGGTCCTCATCTTGGTCAGATTCGCCTGCACAGATGGAAGTCACCACCCTGCTTTGCCAGACCTAATATAAACGCCACTTCATGATATTTTTCACTCGCATGACTATTTTCTTTTCGGATTTTATCCTATTTCATCATAATGGAAATAATGGAAATGTCTGCTGTGTAGGAAAATGACCTTAATACAGATACACACAAATGTGAGACAGAATGTTTGAAGAAAGGATTAGAAGCTTCTAGAAAATTGTTTATATAAATTTAAAGACAAATACAAATATTGATAAAAATAGTAAAGCTATTTCTCTACCTATCTTACAGTCAACACTTCTTCAAGATTTGTTTAATTTTCATATGTTTTTATTAAGGAAGAAAAGATAGATAAAATAGATCAAACTCAATACAAAACCACAATATAAGAAATGTATTTCTAGTTATATATAAATAAGTTAAGTCAGTTTGTGGATACCCCAGAAGTTTGCTTGAAAATAGCTTCAAGTTAATGAAAATCTTGTAAAATAGTTTGAATAAGCTGGTCTTTAATGAACAAAACAAAGAATAAAACACATTTATTATGTATTTTTAATGTTAAATGTAATAAAACGCCTTAACAGATTACACAACTGTAAAACGTGACCGTGGCACGGAACCATTATCACTGAATATCAGTTTCTGGCGGAAGGCTTTTCGCTAACGGACACTGAAATGACATAATGGTAAACACAGTAAGGTGAGTCCCAACTTAAATTTAACCACTATTTCATTACCAATTTTACTTACAAACTGAACTGTGTAAATTAATGTTTGATTGATTTTTTTTTCGACTGAACTTTTTTCTTGAGATTAAATTAAATAATTTAATGATGGAGAGGGAGATGTATGTTAGCGTTAGCATTTAGCCCAATAGCACTCGCTCACATCACATTAGCCAAAGATAAAAAGTAGGCCGTTTCGTCCCCTGTGTGAATATATGTTTCTATTTCGAAATTGTTGAACGCCCTGTGTTCTTGTCTCGATATGCAGGGTTTATCAGTGGGTTGTCATACATTGTGTGTTATCATGGCTAACCAGCAGGCTGACCGTGGCTTCACCTCTGTCGGTGCCAACTGCTGAAATGTGAATGTGTTTACATTTACAGTAGTACACATTCACTCTCTTGCTTCTTATGGCTCTGAATTGGCAGCTGTTCACTTATTTGTCTTATTGGAGTCTTACAAATCCCGAGCATTAACTACAGCCAATAAACGCCTTTTTTTCCATTAATGTATATACTTAAACGTTCCACTCCTTGAATGTTAGCCCAGTCGCTGGTTTGGGGGACCAGTGTTTGGTAACTATAAGGAACATTGTTTTTTAATGTTGTTTTTGTTTTAACGGAAAAATAAATAGCACAAACCTTGCTAGGGATTTTTTTTGTCAGATGTGAACATCAATTTATTCCCACAATCCAAGTCTGCACTTAAAACTCATCTGTTTAAAATTGCCTTCTCCATCTGATATTTCACTGCTGTATTTTAACTTCTTAATTTTTTTTGTTGTTTTTTAATGCTGTGTTGTTATCTTTGTATTCACTGTAAGGTGTCCTTGGGTGACAGAAAGGAGCCTATAAAATAAAATGTATTATTATTATTTATTATTAAGTGTTGATAGTTCACGTTTAAAAATGCAATGAATGAATAGAAAAAAAAACTATATTAAATCAATTTTGGATGTGACAATCTTTTGCATTCAAAAATAGGCAGGTCGAATTTTTCCAAACCTCCTATAGAGTCTTTTTATGTGTTCTGAAACAAACTAAAAGATGACAATCAGCCCTCTTTGTGGCCACACCATTTGAATATAATTGCAGAATACATTTTGGCCAGTCATCATCCACCCTAATGGAATTGCATAATGAAACAAAGGTATTTTGTATACTGTTAAACAGGAGCCAAAACATATTTGTGTTCACATCTTAAGATTCATAGAACACAGGATGTGATGGTAAACTGTCCCATCATGTCCTGTGTTTTATGAACCTTAAGATGTGACATTAGTGATTGTGAAAACTTTGTGTTTGTAGCATTGTTGCTCTCTGCCTTTATTTTCTATCTTTTGTTTTTTATT